GTTTGGAGTAATAAACCTTGTTGATTGAGGATTAAGCTTTAGCATCAACATTATTCAATTATCCCACCCTTTCCTTTAATACGCTGTTTTCACATCATTGTCAATAAAAACAATACATAGTACGTAATGATCTACGTCTATGATATCATATCAAGTCTTCAGTAAGTTGGCGAACAGTTTTCCATTAAAAGTAAGACTATCGACAACTACAAATCATTGGTAAATGAAGTCACAAGACTTATTATGCAACGAATATGTTCTATTAAACTGAATGTCATCTACTCAATATTCAGTTCACATCTTAATGAGTGACGGCTAGATCATATTTGCAACGCAATGCTTGAATGACAATGCTTGTCATTTCAGATTACATCTGTATCGTCAACCATGGATTAGTATTCGGCGAGAGAGTTGATACAACTTACCATGTCTCTTAAGGTCTTGTTGATTTCATTATCTATTCAGTAAATCTAATGACAGGTCAGGCGTGAACAGTTACATAAATGCTGCTGGAAAATAAGTGTTCCCAGGAGTTTATCGAGCAAGGGCCGGGGTCATCACTGTCTTTGAAACCTAACATTTAGTACCAAGTTATTTCTTGAGGGAATCATTTCGCCGACAGTCATTTCACCGACAAAATTTCCCCAACATTATTTCGAAGTTATCTTTTTTTGGTAATTTTTGTCGGGGAAATGAACGGCTTCCATTCTTTTCTACGTTTCTTTAAAGCATTGTTATCTTCATAGGGCAAACTCATCGTCAACTTTTTATATCACAAGTGGCAATATGTTATCTTTGATAATAAAAATCACATTGATACCGAGACGTTAGTTTGTTATAGACGTTTCTTTTATATGCAATTCATGTAAACTGTTTCTGGTTTATGGATATATTGCACAATTACTGTATTCAAGGTTACGGTGTCACGGACGCTGAGCATTACGCGTGACATAATAATAATTCACGTTCGTTAACCTGTTTATCAATTCAAACTCTATGGTGGTTAGCAACCGCGCCCGAGAGAATTTAACCAAGTTCTTGATGTTGGAATTTGTCATGAAAATTTAAACACAAAACGATCGTTCAATATTTTAACTCTAGCATCTAAACCTGTCTAAATACAGAAATCCTTCTACAAATGTAACCCTCTAAGTGCCAAGCACTATATTGTTTCTCTCTAAATGCAAGCGTCCCACGCGTATAAATCATTAGGTACATTATTCTCTGTAAATGGTAACCTTCCGTAAATGCAAGTACGTCTTGGCTCCGATGCAATGCATTTGCAGAGAGTTTACTGTATTATGTAACTCAATAAGGCACACTTAATTGTGTAAGGTCTGGAATATACTGTCATTGCTTAACGAGAGATAAGTTTAAAAAGTCCTTATATGGGAAAACAAATACCATTTTTATGCTTGCAAACGAACAGATATTTGAAGAAAAAAGTCTTTATAGATTGTAACATTTTTTATTGCGCCAACTTATGTGTAGTGTATGGGTAAATGCATTATGATTTGGCAAAGCCTAATAAAACGGGTATGTAATTAATATAGTTCTTAATTATCTCTGTTTGTTATAATACTTCTTGCCGACCAAATTATCACATGCATGGATGGACAACGACTTACGTGTCTCGACAAGAGAGTACCAAAATAAAGCAATGTTAGTAGAAGAGAATGCATAATTGGGTGTTACTATCCAATTCATTACATTGAAAAATGTAAACATGGGTAAGCGAACTACAAGGGTTTTTCAATTACCACTTTATATGCTACGCCTACTAATCTTTCAGGAAACCCGGAACACACGTTTGATAAACCGGTTCGGTGTGGCCGTTATTATATACTGAACGTATTGTCAAAATAGAAGCAATAGTATACAACAACTGTCCCGCTGGGACATTGACTCGGGTGCATACATGACGGAAAACAATAAGACTTATATTTTATTTCTCAGTTAAAATGTGTTATTTACGTAAAATATAAAATAAATTTAATTTAATACTCAGTCTTTAAATAATAGTCTCTAAACTCTTTTTATGTCAGAACATACTGTAAGTTTGTTCCCTATATCATCTAATTAACTGTCAATAAAAGTCAAAAATACAATTGTTTTCATTGTTTTGTTTTTATTTTTCAGAATATGTTGATTTAAATACTATTCCTTATTAAACTCCACGATTTTTCTAGAGTTGGATCAAAGATACTGTTGAAAGGTTTGATTTTTATCAGGTTAAATGCATTTGAGAATTAAATTCAACGGCTTTCTGTAACTCAAAATTTTTTTCCTCGTAGTTGATATTTGGGTTTTATGAAAGCTGCGGCTTTTTGACATATTTATACAACACAAATTTGGAATATGTTATATTATGAAACTAAGAGATATTATAAGTTTCGTTTGTTTGTTTGTTTGGTCGGTTGGTTGGTTTAGTTTGGGCGTTCTTGGGCCAAAGTAAGTCAAATTAAATATTTTATAGCAAAAATTATGAAAGCAAATAAAGAACGCATTTTGGTACAAAATTTTATTAACACGTTGGTTATCTGAAGTAACTTTTAGCCAATTTAACAAATGATCAAAGTAATGTGTTGTTTATTATCGTAAACGCGTCTTTATTTTTAAATTTATTACCATTCTGGCAAACGCTGTTAGTAATAAAAATTTCAAAACGGTTGGTTTTTGCTCTCATACGTTATTGTAATTATAATAATTCTAGGCTAATACTAAAGGCACAACGACAGGTTTTCCAGTATTAGCTTAGCGGCATACAATAGCCCAGATTTGAAAAATAATTAAAAAACAACATACGCCCAAATATATTGAAGATAAAAAATTTATAGTTAAGAAGTGGGATAAAATTTTTGATAAGGCAGTGAATAATTTAGCGTTACCAAATAATAACGCAGTCTTGTTTGAAAAAAAAAAAAGTAATAGAACTGTATACTAAAATTTTGTGACAAGCTTTGAAATTGGGATTTTTAATTATCTTATGTGGTTGTTGTATTACATTATTTCTTTTGTGAAGGCAACATGTTCGTTACGCATCGTAAAAAGTAGTTGCATAATTCTCATTCCTATTGCAAGCGATGCATCAAGCATTTCTTTCATAAAAGTGAACAGAATTGAATGATAAATAATCCATACCCTGCATAGTATTCGTTTACTTTGCCTTTAGTAATAACGATGCGCTGCGTAACATCGACATATCATTCTCGACGGAATTTCAAGTCAATTCTAAAGAACAACACTTGATCATAGACTTGAATACTTATAAGAAAATTATAATTATTTTCTGGCGCAATAAATTGTCTAACCATTGCAATGTTCTCTCAGTAAAAATAAAAATTAGTACATCTATCCCACTTTTGATATTAAATTTCAGTTTCGTATCAGTTATTGATTTCCTAGGCACAACGTTTTGCTCATACTCAGAGGTCTATATGCAATGGTAAGTCTGTATTTGGGTAACAATAAACAAAAAACGTGAACATTTTATTTAACTTTTATTCAATCTTTCACGTCTGTATTAGAAAATTTCACGTTTTATAATAATGTTTTGAACGTTTAGACTTTATTAAAATTATAATAAACCCGAGAGTTTTTATTAGTATTAGCTAATTAAAAGGCTTTTCAATACTGTTTGCTCACCGTCCAAAATTTTTAATCATGTCTTTGCGAAGAAGTTGAGCGATTTGCGGCTACAGGAGTAGCATACTTTACATATGATACAGTATATACATAGTATATTATTCTTCTCTCAAAATTTAAGCTAAACTAAGTCAGCAGTTAAAAAGGACTCCAATACCATGACACAGAATGAGAACGTCTACTCAGCAAACTGTTGGTAAACGTAAACGTATGTAAATATAAAGCATCAATCTATTGTAATGTTACTTACCAAGTAATCGGTGTCTATTACTATTTAGTTCAAAAGTTATGGAGCCTTTTAAACACGCCAATAAAAGTGCGTGATATCAAGCATTCCATACGGATTGTAGCTAATGCAGCTGCTTTTAATTGAAATAAGCGTGCTCGTTGTTTTCACAATAAAATTATTTTACTTCGACACAGAAAAACGTGTAGCTAATAAGATGCTGTATAAATAATAGTTTACTCCACTAATGTTACTGTTGATATATAGAAAAGGGATTGTCTACATATTTGGTTAATAGCAAAATTAGTTCTTACAAATATTTCCGCTGGGCTGTAACCCAATAAAGTTAAAGATATGCTAATAATAGTTGACATATACGTAATTTAAAGCCATTCAAGATGCATGATACAATGAGATAATGTACTACCACGTGACTCTATGAACAGGCAACAATAACGATTCGGAGTTTCTTTGTTGCCAGATTTGCCGATGACGATAGTGCGATTCTTGTTACGCAGTTGATTACGCAGTTGATTCCAAGAATATACAGCGCACTAGTGATTAAAATAGTTAAGTTCTGCTGTAATAATAGGAGGGGACAGATTAACCGGTATGTCAATCCGTCCAAAATGACATGTTACCGAGGAATACAAGCGTATGACACCCTGATCATCTGCACAGTCAACAAGTCAAATCCCGTAAAGATCCCTGCATTAGACAAAGCCGGGTGATAGAAACCGTCCCTTATATTAGTATGTAGCGTATTTGATTAGCGTTTGCGATGATTAAACGGTTTGTCGACAAATGCTGACAACAGACACGATCCAAGGCGAGCGTGAGATGCTCGCATTCGCGAAAAAAAGAAGAAAAAAAAAAAAAAAGAGAAATTCATAACCGTTTTTTTCTTTATTAGCGTTTTTGTATATTACTGAGCCAATTTAAAGCTCTCAAATAATTTCGAGTCGTTTAGATGTTCATTAAATGTCTATCATGCAAAATTTTAATTTAAGTAGTATCATTTTTTCATTATATTGTACACGGCAATACATTACCTATAAACAACTAATCTATCGTCGTCATCATATTGATAACTATACATAGACGATAATTGTTCGTTGAAATAAAATTATTATGCTACTCCAAACATCCAGAATGGAATGATCCCATCCCATCTCGCGGACTCTCCTATTCCTATCCTTCTGCTTAATTCTTTTTCCCATCCATCATCTCCTGGTCTCTGATCTAAGAATACGTTCATCTTGCCTCCTATTTGTTTCAAGAAATGTTGATAGTAATCGTGCTCGTCTCCATGCTCGTGCCATATGCCTCTCTTGGCATCGCTAATCTTGTGAGCCGTCTGCGCCATTTGCAACATTGGTATCAATGTCCCGTCTGATACATGATTTGTATATTGATTGAAATGAGCTATTATGGCCCTACTCAACCTCTGCCCTCGTTTTGCTGTATGATGCCATATATCGAATCCAACTTCATAATTCTGTACTCCCCTTATCAGAGTAAGCCAATAATATATATTGAGCGTGGAATAATGGAATTGATATTCGTCTACTTCCGAAGACGTTATCTCTCCAGACATCAGCAGATCGTCCACGTATGACAGTTCGTATGGTTGTTGGAGAACAGAAGCCGATAATTCCTCTGTCATTTGGAACTGCTTGCCAATCTTCATCCTGCATCTATTAATTACCCTCAAGTACAATCTAATATCATCGACGAATCCACTCAGCGAGGCTAATTGTAAATCATACAACGTGCTTCTGTGATCACCGAGTCGATTCATTCTGAGACCTTCTGGAGAGGCGATCAATGTTTCTAACCACTGTGACGCTATTCCTTTGATAGTTGTGTACTCGCCGTGAGATAATGTGTGCTGTTTGTACAAAAGTCGTACACCGTCAAGGAAGAAACTAGGATTCAGTGTCATTATATCCTCATGAGTAGGCAGCACCCTTCTGTCTACCTTTGGTAGTGAGCGCGGTACTCCGTGAAGATTTGGAAACAAATATCCTTGGTCATTGATCGCTTCTACGTCTGTTAGGTTAAGATTTACCTTCGTATCGTTTCGACCATCTAACGAGTAAGATGAAAGCATATAGGCACGGATAAGATTAGCCGACCATCTACCGTAACGAACGTCGTTGGTGAAGTAATTGGCCAGAGCCAGAGTGGTCACATTCTCAAACAACTCTGAAGTCGATGGGTAGTCTGTCGATAATAAATCAAAATACTTCCACCCATCGTTTGCGTGTATCTTATCATGTGACGTACTCTCTGAAAATTCCTTTGATTCCATTACTAAATAGTCTTGTTCGTTCGGTTTTACCCTTTGAAAACGTCCCTTAGCAGCATTGACCATTTCGTCAGCCTTCTCGATCAGCAAATCCACTATTCGCTTTACTTTGATTTCTCCACTCCAGTATTCCAGTCTAGCCGCTTTTAATCCGTTCTCGTTATACACGAACAGTTTATTCGAGTCGAATCTCTGTACTTCCCTGGCAACACGTTCATCTAGTCTATCAAGAAACTCTTGAATTCCAAGCAATCTGTTGAATGCACGAAGACCATAGGCTTCACGTCGGTGTTGTTCTTGTTGTGCCTGTCCAGAAAATAAACGAAAGACCCAGCCTGTCGTTTTGAATAGACGTTTCTCTGGCGAAGCGTAGTCTTTGTAATTGTCTGTTTCCCAGGGAAACACAGAAAGGTTCATCTTACGTGGGGAGAGAACTCCTAATCGGCCGAGAAGTTCGAGCTGCGCGATGAGGAAAGAAAAAAAAAGGTGAGATTAAAATGTTGGATAAAATTTAAGACTTCTTTCTTCAGAGTCAGCGAACAAGTCAAGTATATGTAAAGATTCTAACTTGTGTATTAATACTAGACCGTTGCATAGAATATGACATAGACCCAATTATCGAATTCAAGTTTTATACAGCACTCTCCTTGATCAACGTACCTTTGACCTTCTTCCGTATCTCATGTCTGGGTTGTACGCAAATTCTGCATCATTTCTAAAAATAACTTGCGGTTCTTCGGGTGTAAGTGGACGTACGTCAGGAGCCACGAGAAGCTCCGTGTTGTTGAGTAAACGAGCCATAGGAACTACAAAGTATTTGTACTGTTCGCCCCAGACTCGCAATTGATATTCAATGTCTTTGAATGCATTCATGGTCAGGAAGCAATTGCCATCGAATGGCAATATCCAACGGGCGTCGGGCTGTTCCTTGCCATGAGCCAATGCAACATTACGACCACCATTCTAAAATTGAAAGAGAAAAAAATTGAGCGTAAAGAACAAAGAAATTGGTTAAAGAGCATATTTTTTGAGTAAAACTCGTTCGTTCAGGTTGGCAGACTAGTCGCTAGATAAGTTGTTCCAAACAATTGGGAAACCTAACCAAATACCACCCAATTCACCGGGAACTATTTTTTTTCCGATACTTACGTTGTTCATTGCATACAAGTTTTTGTCAGCATAAGTATAATCGATAGTGCGTAATTTTGCTATTCTCGGATACCGCAAGTAATCATTAGAATGGAAGAAATCTGATTTTGGGAAATCCTCTAAACGAAAGTCCTTTTTCTGGTACTCGGTAATTTCGAAGGGTATTCTCAAATACTCTTGTTCGTATGAATTCAACAGTTGTATGAGTGCATTCTCGTAGTCTTCATCCACTATTCTGTTTAGTAGCCACATCTTTCTCGTATTGGGAAACTTTGGCTCGTTGTTCAGTATAAACCGTACATTCTGTAATATTTGCCCTGCCTTGTGGCGAGGAGGGAGATCATTACCAAGTATTCGATACAGTATTATTCCTTCTGGGTTGGTCATTGGGGTAACTACTGGCCGTTGTATCGTGTTTGTGAAATAAGCATAGATTATTATTAGACCAATTACAACAACTGCAATCAGGTGTGCTAGTCGACGCAGTAAGGCCTCTCTCCGTTGCATTGAATGTTGCATATGCGGGTGGTTGGTAGTCTCCAAATATCTATACCCGTACGGATATCTGTGATGTCCTCTGGGCATAAACTCCATATCGCTGTGTGGTCTACTCGGCAACCTCGCATAGAGACTAGTGGGGTTTTCAGGTCTTGTTGCAGTTTGTCCTTTGACTGGAATGGATACTTGACTTTTATCCATTGTCTGCGCTAGGAATTCGCAATGGCTTTGATAAATTGAAAACTTTCCCCTTCTTCCTTTGTAAAGTGAGAAAACTTATGTTTGAAACCAAAATGTTGTTTGCGAATTGGAATGGGGTGTATTTATAGGTTGGTGATTCCCGATGTTATTTTCGGATTTTGTATTAATAGACGTGTGTGCATATGATAGTGATACCTTAACCTTAAGCGGATGATAAACGATAATAATAATGGTAAGTTTTATGATAAGTATGTTTATTTTTCAATTAACGGTTATCTCATAATTGTGCACAATATTCGGCCCGTTGTAGTACACATAATGACAAAACGGCCCCTGTTGATTATGATCTGCTAATGAAAAGAGCTCGATTCGACCGATGATGACAATCCCTATACATCACAGACTTGAAACTCATTTATCATTATCGCTATAGATGGCTTAGAAATGACCAAGATAAGAAACATGCGTTGGAAATGTATGACTAGGAGTGCAGTCGGAGAAAAGGATTTTTTGTGTGCAATTTAAAAAGTTACTATATACAGTAATTCTTATTAATTTTCATGAAACATAGATATATTTGAACCTATTTTGGTAAATACAACCGAACGTGCGAAAACACGATAATCATTGCACTAAACTTTATCAACATATCTGGATGGTATATCAATGCCAAGATGTGGCGAACGTGCCACATGATGACATCTTCGAGACATCCTTAAAACCTCCTGTTTCTAGGCAATTTCGCTTGGCATAAAATCAACCAATAACAACGAGAGGATAAACAGTCCCGCAGATATCATGCAAATGTTCAAGTCGAGTATAACGCAATAAAAGAACACTTTGAAAGCTCATACTAATTATCATGGCATGTTAATTATTATGGCATGTTAATTATTATGGCATTAATTACAATGGGTCGTTCGTTACATGTTCGATTCCATATCGTTAAATCGTATAGTACGCTCGATGTACCGATCACGCACATGACGCGAATTTACCCTTCAAAATAGAATGCGATAACGTTTTGCTTGGGGAGGGGTCTCTTAAGTTTTGACCTGACATAGTAGGATGATTTTTATACCAGGGAAAAAAGGGGAAAACATTGACCGTTGTGTGACTTTGACTATGTATCCGAAGAAAACTATATTCGACCCATTTATGGAAAGGGTCCATAATAGGGTCGTCTTAACCTCGACGGCTCGATACCAAATTTGGTCAAAATGACCTGTTAAGGACATACATGATGAATAAACTTTGTGTGATTGGCGAGTGTAATTTTTTATTATTACCCTTTTCGTAATTTAGCTGCTGAGCACTATCGCTATCTGACCAACGATAAACCGATTTCCTGTGTTACATGCCCAATCTGGTCAATTCATACAGAAAAAAATTTACTAGAAATGTTGTTGATTTCCGCAATGAGAATCCTAATACGGATATGTGCAGAAATCAGAAATCTATAGTATGCCATACACGAAACCTTATTTTATACACACAATAGAAATGCAGTGCTCTATGATAATACTGCATGATATTGCATACGGAATCAGATATTGTCATTTTTCCTGAGCCGGACTAAGATTTACCGTTACTCTGCATAATCGACCAATCTATAATATCCTAATTAAGCTGTCGAAGAATAGGTTGTGTTTGTTTGACACGCCAAAAGTTGGTACGTAGTTTAGACTCGAAAAATCATTACACTATCATGCATAAACGACTTGTGTGTTTAAGTACTCTTTCATTGACAGTCACATACATGTGGAAAAGAAAGAATGTGACGATGTCGAACTGGAACATCGCAGTCTGTCCAACAATATCTATGCTTATTAATCAGACTGTGTGTGGGAAGAATGGAAATACATTTATAGTTGATATGTGTTATTCATAGAACGGTCATATGCGGGTTATTTTAAACCGAAGAACCAGATTGATCGATCGCAAAGACACTTCTCTGCATGAGGTGGGAGTAAAAATCGTCACGTGTAGATACAGCGAAGCCGACTGGGAAGTATAACCTATATTCAACGTCAATTAGACTAGTCAAGAATGGTTTGCAATGAGTAAAACGGTCAAGACTCAATAATTTTGATTGATACCTTGACTGTTAGTATCTCTCGATAGTCCATTTTTTTATGGACGTATACATTATAGCAAGAATACTACAGCGGCAGGGGCATTATAGAAAATTCCAATTGTGCATATCTTAATATAACATTCAACTAATCAACATTAAACATGTGTTTGATTACTCGTATTAGTATTGACTGTTTGTCTTTGTGCACACAACGTAATTGATTGGGTTCAGCGCAGCGATAATAATATATCGATTGCAAACGATAATAATAAGTTTTGGGATGGTCTAAAAGCTGCCGATTTGAAATGACTTTTATCCGTTCATATTTCGCATTGAAAAGACCGTATTAGATGCTGATAACATGATAACAAGCAAATCTTTGCTTCCTGAACTGTTGCGGTCTGCGCCACTCCATATAAATTTCGGTCCACCCGAACAAATCTCCGACCAATTACTTAGCGGAGCCCTTAAAATTTGCACAACATACTTTCAAAATAGGTATTCATATAAACGTCTGTTTTCTTGTGACAGTCTTTCTGTTCGAAACGAATCTTTGTAATCTGGCGTAAAAATCAAAGTTCACGTTTCGTCTGCTTTGCCATTCACGGGATAACCAGCATGCACGAAAAGTAATATTGGTGTTCGTGAAACTGACTGTATTTTTGACATACGGTCAGGAAATAGAAAAAATTCCAACACCGCATATAGAACACTATTTTTATGGTGACAACTGCATATATGTACACATGTACAATCGTCTTTGTCATTTATTCTGCTTATCTATTAGTTGCAACTAATCAGACAAGGTGATTCAGGGGTTCAAAATTGCTACACAACCGCTTTTAAGCCAATTAACTTTCATCGCCTTTACTTTGAGCACACATATTAAAAGCTTTGATAAATCGGGCATGTCTAAAGCGGAGCAGATCTCTCACAATTCCATTGGTCGCAGCCAATAAAACTGCAAATGCGGGATCACGTTCTGCTCCGCTTTAGCCTTTCCCGATAAATCAGCAACATTCTGAACGAAAAATTTTTAGTTGGCCGCATTATTATAAGAATTTGACAATTTTGTGATTTGATTAATATTAGTCGAGTCTTTTAACGTGCCTATGTACTTGCTAATACCATCCCATATTGGTGGAGGCGTACGATTTTGCTAAATCTTACTTCAATTCACCGTTCTTTGACAGCAAAGACCTTTCCGAGGCCTAGCACTTTTTTTTTCGTAACCGAGTTATTTCTCAGTTATGCCGATAAAGTGATATGGACTAAAATCCCCTTTTCCTTTTCCACTTGGACACAAAATAGATATTGCTTGAGAATTCTAAATCTACCAAAGTAATAATATTAATATTCCATAGATTAATGCTGATACTCACGTTAATGTCTTTATCTGAAATACTCAGTTAATTCCATATTCTGTAATAGCCTGACAGTAATTCAATGATAATAGCACATAATAAAATTTTCTGCATGAAATGAGAATTTACTCTTCATATTAATAACACACGACAAAGTTATCAAAACAAGTCTTAAGCGCATTGAGAAAATCTAATCACAAAAACACGAGTTGAACAGATAAAGAACCACTCAGTTATAAGAACATAGCCTAATTTCAAACTTTTATAAGAAAAAATGGTGATGGATTACTTTGACTTAATTAGGAACCTGATTACAGGAAAAGGAAACAAAAATCCAAGGCTAAAATTTAACACATGTTTATTATATCCTGGATAAACATTTTAAACCAACCCAACTGTTAGTAATTTTGCACCCATACTCACTGTAAATAATAGTGATTTGTTCTTAACATCAGCTGACTCTTTTAGCAAGGCTGTACAATTATATATATTTTGGGAGTCATTATTGTTAGTTCTATTTTCCTATATGTCTTAATTTTTGATTGCCTATAAATTTCTGGTTAAATTAAGATCTGAACTTTTAATAGCACTTTTGAACGTTTAAACTAACCTAAATTTCCTTGGTAGAAATATTATTTTAAAGTTAAAAATATGTAAAAATTTAATTTACATGTATAAAAATATTTTCATTACTTTGTGCATAGTATTGTATGTATGAAAATACCAAGCAGTTATTTTTAATGTTCAAAAATTTGTATTTTATGAGCTGGTCAACTGACATCTTGATTTATTAATTTGTTAACTCGCCTACTATATTTCTAATAATGGAAGCCAACCAATTGATACTACTACTCAGACGTTTGAAGAACGCTAAAGAAAAAACTGTGTAAATTAATATTTGACAAATATTAATATACTGTATATTTATCAGCGAATTTACTAGAATTACCTTACGAGAATAAAGTACTGGTAAATACGGTAAGAGCACAACAATTTGTTCTGTCGTGGTTAGAAAGCATAGATAGAATTAATATTAACTAACTTTGAGATTTAGCTCATCGTTAATCTACTGTTATACAGTAGACTTTCCCTAAGTATAAGTACCAAATCAGACGCAATTTGCATTTATAGGAAGTCTGCATCTAGAGAGAATGAATTACTTAATGGTCTTATAAGCTCGGGACAATTTTTTTTCAATAATTTATCCTCTTATTTTTTTTCGTTAAACAAAAATTGTGGGGCCGAACAAGAGCCTGCATTTAGGGAGGGGAACAGTGCCTGTACTTACACTTGGGAAGAATCCACTGTTCAATCAACCTATTACTATTACGTCTAAACTGAAAACCTCTTTATACCAGTTATCCTTGCCACGAAATTTTTAGCCGATATAAGAAATCAGTATTAGTGTATAGAAAAATACCCCATAAATCATAATTAGAAAACCGTTTCTGAAAATTTTGGTTGTTAAAGCAAAAATCAGTATACAGTGTGTTAGGAAAAAAGCGGCGGTGACAAAATCCATATGTTTCAGCAATTACAAAATCAAATTAAACACATTT